CCAGTGCTTGATGTGATGGTGGAGCTGAATGTACATGTAGATCCTGTTTGGGATGCCCAGCGTAATGAACAATCTTCCATCCCTCAACTCTCTGTGTATCTTCTCACTCTCCATCTATCAGAGTTACTCTGGTCCTCACAGCTCAGAGAGAGAGAGACAGATGTGTAGTGCTGAGCTCTGCTGGGACTGATGATCAGAGAGACTGGAGGAGAAACACCTGTAACGAATCAGCTCATGGGAAATATGAATAATTAACCATAACTAGTTATAATTAATTATGAATATTTTAGATCCGACACTGTTCATTCAAAGAAAGGTTTTCCTATGAATTAATTAGTAGAAAAGTCCATTTCTACTGTGCATTTGTGCCTCTTGCTCTGGGACATGCAGGGATTTTCCCTGCTTTGCATTCCTTTGGCCAATAAACCCAGTGATATCAGCATTGGTTGCCATGGAACCAGGGGCCTGTTCGGCTTCCTGGGGTGTTACGCATTTCGGGGGGAAGGGTTCGTAGGTCCTCATATGGCTTGTTAACTGAGGGGGGTTACAGAGAATTTGTTAAATATAGCTAACAAAATATATATTGTGTGTTTGATTGGTCCAGACGCTACACACCTGAGCAAACAATTACAGCTATAATGTTTCAAAATTGTGCATTAAAATTATCTTTATTAAAGATGAACTAATCATTTAAGTTGTGTATGAAATCACCAGTGACCCATAGTGGCTGTTTGTTGCTGTAGGTTGTTTTATAGGCTGGTTTTCCTCTCTCTGCTCTGCACACATAATTCTGCATTAAAAGAAAGAAAAAAAAAACTACACAAACAAACATAGCCTATATCATATGTCAGTCAGTCATTGTCGCAAAATAAGCCCCGACAGTTAAAGCTTCCGCTAATGAAAAAAAAAGCAGAGTAACAAGACAAATACTGCAACAATATCAAAGTAATATAAATACAGAATTACTCTGAGGTAAATCTGCCTACAGACGACACGAGACACAAGATGGTACCATTTGTGTTTGTTTGTACCAAATGAAAGAGCTTGTCCGCTGTATGATACGAGAGAAAGTAACGCCGGCTTCAGTTATGCGGATGTGGGCAGCGTTGTCACGAGAGCGAGCATTAGGAAATGTCAGACCGCTATGTAACAAGGTAGTATCATTATCTATTCTTTTATAAAATACTACAAAATGTGTATCTTCAATTTGAACATCAGGTCAATAACTCAGTCTCACAAGCCTCAAGTAAGATAACACAGTAACAATAGTAAAGTCATTATTCACAGTCCAGTAGCCTAATCGCTCGATTCATAAGTGTTTCTGATTAATGAAAAATTCTTAAGATTGATGATTCGTAAGAGTCATTCGTAAGGGAATCGTTCAACACTGTCAATGGCAGTCAATGCGATCTATAGTAAATCTGAAGAAATCACTATTGTTTTCTTTCCTCAGAACAATATGGGCTACGGCAGACGTGAGCCAATATAACAGCGAGAGTGAGGAGGGTGAAAGAGGAAGTACTTTATAAAGAATAAACAGATTGTATAAACTTAGACGCATTACTAATTTCTAGTTGATGGTACCATGATGCCATATAAACCACATACAGTGTGAAGAGAAGCTCACACCAGTGGTTTTCAGATCTTGTTTTTTTCTTTTAGTACTTCATGTGGAATGATAAAGTTAGTAACACTTAACACATGCAATTTTTAATCACCGTTGCTTATATTTGGGGTTAAAGGTTTTTCACAGTTGTGTAAAGAGAATTACATGTGAATTGGGGTTTGGTTAAACCCTTTGTAGAATTGTGTAGGTCCCCTCTCTGATCAGGGCCCTTGGAACCGTCCTAAACTTACCCCTCATTACAGCGCCCCTGTTAAAACTTGACTGCCCGCAATAAGATGTCATGGTTCTTTTGCTCTTTTTGTACAGGTCACACATTAAGACACTGCAAGAATTTTTAAAATAATATTTCAAAACACACTGGTTCTTTATTTACAACAACAGCAACAAAAAAATAAACATGAAAAGTTTAAAATATTATAAATCTACAGAGCATTGCAGTGCAACAAGTCATGAGATTTACACTAAGGAATAAGGAATATGCATGCTTACAAATGACAGTTCATGTGGTTGTAATGTCAAGCAGGCAAACATCATCACTGAGCCTTATGCTGTAAAGGTTTCTCTGTATAACAATAATAAAGTACAACAAAATATAAATATTATAAAAATACTTATTGTTTTATGATAAAACAATTCAGAAAAGTATCTGAAATATGCTGATAAACAGCAGCAATGTCATATAAGCCTTCCAAAACTTTATGAACAGCTAATTACTGTGTTGTCTGGCCTAAGTGTGGCATTTTATTTTTAATAAAGCATAATTATAAATATCGAAATTGGCAAATAAAATGCTCAAGGGGATTATGTGAGCTCAACTGAAAAGGGACAGGGGTGTTTTTGGGAAGCTCGGGTAAGGCTGATCACAGAGGGGTTAGAAGAGGGGAGAGCGGTGATGATGGTCTATGGGTATTACTAGGGAAGCACCGAAATGAAAATTCTGGGCCGAAACAGAAAATTCTGGATGCACTTGGCCGAAAACCGAAACAGCTTTTTAATAATTATTTATTATTTTAGAAAATATAACATATTTTTGTAAGACTTTTTAATTTAACTCAATAATTTTAATGATACTGAATTTACAAAATACAAGCCAATAAAATAGCCTCACTTTTATTGAAAGTAACACAATACAACTTGACATAAAATATTATTAATATATTAATATTAAATATCAATATAATATTTGAATTCAGTTCTATGCAAAATAATCAAATTTAACAGATTTTTAAAAAAGTAATTAACCAGTACAGCTGTACTATGTTACAGCACAGTAGCACTATTGCAAACAGAAACAAGTATACTACATTCAGACTCTCTGGTGTGACTTTAAATGCAGACCTTGAGCCAAAAACTCATCACCAAACACCAATGACTTGTACATATGCGTACAATCATTTTAGACACTTCCAAAACTGTGGCAACAAAGATGGACATACAATTTTTAAATACATGAATTATGTTTCCATCTTTGTTACCACAGTTTTGGAAGTGCCCTTTTCTGTTCTAAAGAAGGGGGTGTCCCAATACTTTTGTCCATATGTATGTACAAGTCATTGGTGTTTGGTGATGAGTTTTTGGCTCAAGGTCTGAATTTAAAGTCACACCAGAGGTGTTCAGCTGGGATTAGGACTTGGCTTTATGCAGACCAGTCAAGTTCTTCCACACTGACTGAATCAATCTTTTATTTTTTTAACCTTGCCTTATACACAGAGGCATAGTTGTGTTAGAAAAGAAAAGGGTCCTGTTCAAACTATTGGTATAAAATTAGAAGCACACAATTCCCTAGAATAGCATTATATGCTTAAACATTAAGATTTATACTCATGGAAATTACTAAAGTAGTCAAACCTGTTCATTAGAAGGGGGTGTCCCAATACTTTAGGCAATATAATGTACATTTGGTGCGGAAGGGGGCCCAAACTCATATTCTTTCATAGGGCCCAAAATTGCTAGCGGCGCCCCTGAATTAGTGGTTTGATAAGTGCTCATTATTTTAGTAATTGCTCCTACAGGTTTATAAGTGTTTTTGAGAAAACACTAAGAAAGAAGGAAAGAAAAGAAGCAGAAAGAAACAAGGATCTGTTTCAAAACTGCAAACGCCTGGACTTCTTAGTGGCC